GGCACAGAGCACAGAGAGTGATGGTCCTCCATCAGGGCTTGTGGGAGACCCCAGCTCTTTGCTGCCAATGGCCAATGAGCAGCCCTAGGAACCACATGGGGTGCTTTCTCACCCATGAGTTGAAGTGAGTCCAACCCAAAGTATTCAAAGCAGTTCCCTCTCTGGAACAGTGTCTCCTTCCTCAGCACACTATTGAGTGGCACCCCATCTGCCACTATCCCTGCTCTTGGGCCCCTAAGTCCCACCACCAGCCACTTCTGCCCAGCTTCACTCCTGTTCACTGAAGGGATAGAAAGGGAGTGGGCAGAGGAGAGACTCAAAGGAAAAGACAAAGTGCTTTAGCGTGGCCAGGCTCTCTGGGACTCCGTCTTCCTGTCAGAGCTCCTCCCTCTGTCCTGGGGTAGGCTCAGGCCTCCCTCTGAGCTGAAGGTTTGTCTGCTGGGGGTGAGGGGGGCTTTTCTCTGCCATGGAGTGCCCTGCGGTCTCCCAACCTCTGCTCTGCAACCCATCCCTGCCTCTTGCTCTGTCTTTGGGTGTGTACCCAGTGTAGCTGCCCCCCTTCACTATGACCCAAAGGTAGCTTGGGGTGCAGCCACCTTCAGTAGGCCTGTGGGACCTGGGAATGCCCAGATTGATCACAGAGTGACCTCTCTGGGCCCTCACAGGACACTGCAGCCAGCCTTCCACCTATAGACTCATCCCAGCTGAGTGGTCGGCACTAGGCTATTCCCAGCTGCCCTCTCAGCCCCCAGGCATGGGGCAGAACCAGCCGTCTCCAAGGTGCCATGTACTGCCAGCCTGCTGGAGGCTTGACAGTGCCCAGAATGTCTGCAAGGGGAACTCCACCCAGGAGGGGACATGCCAGTCTCTCTTCTTATGGAAGGTAAACACCACAGTGCCCACCTGACCCCACCCCGGCCTCTCCTTCCTTCCCTCGACCCACTTCCTTCCTGGTATCTGGGCTCTCCAGCAGGTCCTGCATGGATGTGCTCAGGCCTTCTCTTGAAAGAGCATTGAGGCCAGAGCGATAGCACAGAGGGGAGGATGTTTGCCTTGCACGCCACTGACCTGGGTTCAATCTCTGGCATCCCATATGGTCCCCCGAGCATTGCCATGAGTAATTCCTGAGTGCAGAGCCAGGAATGACCCCTGAGCATCACTGGGTGTGACCCAAAATGCAAAATAAATAATTAAATAAATAAATATTTTTAAAAGAAAGAGCATCCTCCTGCATGGCAGCCCAGCTATGAAAGGGCGCCTCAGGCCTGCTGGGCTCTCCCGCTGAGAGGATGAAGCCTGCAGTAAAAGAGAAGGGAGGAGGGCCTGGGTGAAAGGAAGGATGAACATGATGAGAGTGGGAGCTATTCTGTTCATTAATTCATTTGCTTTAGTGTGCTTCTCTTTCCACTTTAAATGCAGTAACTTTGAGCATCAGTTTCTCTACCAGAAGCAATGACTAGAGATGAAGGCAGGTACTATAAGAAACAGCACATTTCAACACTTGAACCATTCCAGACAGCCTAGAACTAGGTATTTCCCACCCTCTGGGCTTCACTCTTCCTGCTCCTGGCCCCCTAACAGACCTCTGAAATGCAGACAATGTCCACCAGGACCCCATGGCCAAGCTGCTGGTGTCTCCCATCAAGCCCCCCGTTGGGAGAGGCAGCCTCTCAGCAGACAACAATCTTGTATTATAAACCCCAACCTTGCTAAGATAAAGATAAGCCTTCCATCTCGCATGGTATGGGGTGCTCCCCACGGGGGAAGCAGGACCCCAGAAGACCCAGTGTCCTGCACTCAGTGTCTGTAGAACCATAGAAGAATTGGCAGCACTGAAACTCCATCTGACACACAACCTGGTTTCGTAGGCAGCGCTCACCACTGGGCTCCCATGGCAGCATGGCTGCAGTTCATTTTGATTTAGTGGTGCAGATTCAAGTTTTATCATCAACTGCACTCAGGAATTACTCCTAGCGGTGCTTGGGGGACCATATTGGATGCCGAGGATTGAACCCAGGTCAGCCGTGTACAAGGCAAATGCCCTACCCGCTGTACTATCGCTCAGACCCCCTCAAAACTACCTTTCTTATAAAAAGAAATACCTGATATTTCTATTGATAAGTGAAATTTATATGCTATTTACACGTGAAATTCAGGCACTTAGAAAACTACAAATACAATGAGTGTAGCAGTATTTAAACCTGCTGAGCAAGAAGATCTGGAAGACAAAAAGACTACTTGACGCATTATCACTAAAATGATCAGTGACTTTTCTTATATTTTTCCCTTTCATTTTGGGGTAACATAACCACTGAATTTTGATAGAATATTTTTAAAAATTATTGACCCAGTGATATAATATAGAGTTTATGACACCTGTCTTATATACGGCTGACCCTGGTTTGATCCCTAGCTTTGCACATGGTCCCCTTAGCATCCCAATGAGTGGCCTCGAGACCATAGTCAGCAGTAATCCCTGAGCACTGACTGCTGATATGAGCCAAAAACCAAAAAAGAAAATTAGTTATTAGAAATAGTTATAGAAATAATGCTACAGCTTAAATATATAAGATAAAAAACATTCATTTTCCCCTAAAATTCTACAAAGTAGTAATAGAATTCTCTTAGGATTTAATTTTTTAAATACCTCCTTTTCACCTTTTTTGAGTTCAAGGGCCACATCTGGCTGTGCTTAGGGCTTACTCCTGGCTTTTTCATCAGAAATGATATTGTCACTTCTTCAGGGGAGCATATTGGGTGCCAGGATTGAACAAGGAGTGGTTGCATAGGCAAGTTACCTACTCACTATCCAGCCCTCCTTTTCACCTTTTCTGAACCATACAAATCAATTACCTATGTCTGTGTGCACATAAAAATGTATTTATCTTATATTAGCATGTCTATCATATAAAATATATTATCATGTCATTTTTCTCCTCTCAACTCTACTTGCTTTTGCATGCTTTATAATCATCGCCATCATATATTGTGGGTTTGAGGAATACCTGTAAACAGCAATCCTCTTATCAAGGTTCTGAATCATAGACAAAAGAATTAAGAAGATAGAAGACCAGAATAAAAGTTCAGATCAGAGAGCATAAGTTTAATCAGCAGACACTCTTCATTCCAAACGTTTTAAATCCTAACATAATATCAGTTCATCTACTGTGTTACAGGAGAGTTAAATTGCTGTGGGTCCACCATTCTCAACAGCCCTGAGTTGGAAATACCATGAAGATAAATACCTTTATAGCACCCATGCCCAATTTCTCTTCTAGTTCACTAATCATGTCAGTCATTTCCTTTCTCATGGTAAAAAGGAAGGAAGAGAGGAGAGAGAAAGCAGGAGTGCTATCCTAATTACAGAGCTGTGAAGGAAACATCAAAGATAGAGATAATTCTTCCAGAAAAATCCATAAAAATATAAAATGATTGAAACTTTCAATAAATATTTAGCACTGCACTATAGCACTGTCCTCCCGTTGTTCATCAACTTGCTTGAGCAGGCACCAGTAATATCTCCATTGTGAGACTTGTTATTACTGCTTTTGGCATATTGAATACGCCAAGGGGAGCTTGCCAAGCTCTGCCGTACAGACAGGATACTTTTGGTAGCTTGCTGGGCTCTCCGAGAGGGACAAAGGAATGGAACTCGGGTCGGCCTGGTGCAAGGCAAATGCCCTACCTGCTGTGCTATTGCTCCAGCCCAAGAAAATAAACAAGCTGCTCTGGTGAATACCAAGAACACAATGAACCTCTTCATATTTTGAATATTTCCAGAATTAGTGCTATGGGCTGGCTTGTCCCCTTTCCTTCAAATTTCATATTTTAAAATTCTGATGGAAATGTGAATATTTGGAGAAGTAAGTCGGCAATTAAGGCTAAATGATGCTTAAAGGGTAAAAGCCTGGTATGTTAAAGTATATTCATGAGGAAAGAAACCAGAGAACTCATTGTGTCCCATCAATAAAGAATAGGTCAGTTGAGCACACTATGAAATGGCAGCTGCATGCCTACAGGGCAAAACAAGATCCCAGAACAAAACCTAACTACCAAATACCTTGATCATTGATTACCATGCCTCTTGAATCACAAGAAAGAAATTTCTGGGGGCTGGGTGATAGTACAAGGGTTAGTTCTTTGACCCCAGCAGCATATGTCCACCACCACCCCCACACTCGGCATCACCAGGTGTAGCCATGGGTACCCCCAAGCACAACCAGGGTGATGCCATTGGTAACAAGATCCACAGGGCCAAGAAACATGAACATTGAAACCATGGCCACGGTTATCTGAGCATCACTGGGTAGGTGACTGAGCCCCCTGAGCACTGTTTAGGTAGCTCATGCTCCCACTCCCACAAAAGAAATTTCTGCTGTATTAGCTACACAGTCTGTGTACAACTGTGAGTGGACTGATACAATTAGAGTAGAGAGAGTTCTTGTCTATCTTTATATCTACTTATCGATCTATCATTGATTTATCTAACCATGCATCCAACATATATCTACCTGCATGTACCCATGTATCTATCTGAAAAAGAAACGTTCATATAATAGAAACACAGAAATCTATGTCTTTTGAAAGCTTAGATCATGACTATATTCTTTATGTGTCTTCATTGTACCTACTGAACAAGGAGTGTCATTGGAATGTGATGTAAACTGTAAGCTGAGCTAAAATATAAAAGATTTTTGGGGAGTGTGAGGCTACACTTCATGATGCTCTAGCTTTACTCCTAGCTCTTCATTCAGGGATCACTCCTGATGGGGCTCAGGGATCACATGGGATAAAGGGGATCGAACCCCAGTTGGCTGTGTACAATGCAAGCACCTAACCTGCTATATTCTCTCTCCAGATTATATGCTTTTACTAGGAAATTGAAAGATTAATGTTTCAAAAGAAGACCAATACACTATTTTCAAGATGGGTTTTTAAATTAGTGTGCTATCTGACATAATGTTGCAAATAATCAATTATGATTTTTGTTGTTTACTTACTCTGTTGTTGCTCTCTTGGGAAGTTTTCTCATGGAAAAAGCCACCATCGCTTTGAAGAGATATTCTTCATTTTCATCCCAAGTATACTAACAAGGAAGTAAAACAGAAGAGGTAAAATAGGATTTTTAAAAAATTGTCCATTAGAATCTAACAGTGGCCATAGTAGCAATAGTCTCTCTCTCTCCCTCTCTTTCTCTCTCCTCTATCTCTCCCTTTCTCTAATACACACACAAACACATGCAATTGGAGAGTGTGATAAATCATGACACTATAATATTCAGGATAAGATTTCTAACACACTATCATTTCAAGAGTGATATGTTCCCCATTGCATTCTCTTCTACAGATTTTGCAATATTAGTAATTATTCAACAATAGGCCATTTAGGCCTCTGATCCTGGGCATAAATAGAGATGGCTCTCTTTCTTTCATCAAATTAATTACTATTTTACATTTCATTTTCTTAATTACTCTTGGTACAATTTTTTTTTATCTGGATACTTGAGTTTGTATGCATGTCACAGGACAAATTATGTCCTACACTCAAATTCGTGTGTTGCCATTCTAAATCCGAAACCAGAAAATTTGGACAGAGTGTTAACAGAGGTGATTAGGTTACAGTGATATCATTATGGCGGGCCTTATTCATCATTATTCCAACATTATTGATGTTATAAGAGAGAATTTGGGCACATTCATGTTCAGAAGGAAAATGATGTGAAGACTTGTGGAGAGACAGTCATCTAAAAGTCAAGGAGAGAGGTCTAGAACAAATCGTTCCATCGGTACCTCAAGGTTGAAAACCACCTTGCTAACACCTAGGTGTTAAATTGTAAGCTTCCAGAACTGAGAGAAAATAAACTATCATTGTTTAAGTTTCCCAGTCCATGATACTTCATTATGCGAACCCTCACTGACTAATGTGGGTGAACCATCTTTCAGGGGCGTAATCAAGTGTAACCACAGAAAGTCAGAAAACAGATTTTGTTGTGTTGAACTCTAAATGCATAATGACTTACTCTCCATTTATCAGGGGATCCTTTCTGTTTCTGTCAGCTTGCTATGTCTCACAACTCACACTGACTATTTCAAACCTCCATACGTGTCCCCAAATCTCAATCCTTTCCCACTTACATCACTCTTATGAGATGCTCTTCTTCATAATTAAGAGATACAAATCAAAACATCAACTTAAACTCCCCCACCCTCCTCACACCAAATATAAAACTTCCTCTACAGACACACATCTTATCCTCTTCATCACCCTGATGGGTCAGATGTGGTATTTTTCCTGTGCATTCACAGGAAAAATTCACTAGTCCAACCTCCTCTACTAAGAATTCTTTCTTCCTTGTTTCCTTCTTAGGATCTCAACATAAAAGTTTCCCCTTCTCTGGGGCTGGAGCGATAGCACAGTAGGTAGGGCGTTTGCCTTGCACGCAGCCAACCCGGGTTCTATTCCTAGCATCCCATATGGTCCTCCGAGAACCACCAGGAGTAATTTCTGAGTGCAGAGCCAGGAGTAACCCCTGTGCATTGCCGGGTGTTACCCAAAAAGCAAAAAAAAAAGGTTCCCCTTCTCAGGGATACCCAGATCAACCTTAGCCCCAGACTATAGGGAGGAGAAGGAAAGAAAGTGAGGAGGGGAGGGGGAGAAGAGACAGACGAGAAGCAACAGGAGCCAGGTCAGGGGATTGAGGTACAAAGGTGGTGTTAAGGAATGATAAAGACAAATATCCAAATCACATAGTCAACAACACTGAAATCAAGAGACCCAAATGTTAACAACCAAACTTAGAGAGATGCCTATCAAGAGGGTAGGCTGGAGGGTGGGGGGTAGATATACGAGGGAGACTGAGAACATAGGTTGAGGGAAGTTGATACTGGTGGTGGGATCAGTGCTGCTATATTGTACATCTAAAACTCAACTATGAATAACTCTGTAAATCACGGTGCTTTAACAGAAAAATATTTTTTTTAAAGTTCCCGTTCTTTTTGATGTGCTTGACTCTGTCTAGAGCCCGTCCATTGACTTTCTTTTTTTCCTCTTTTGGTTTTTGGGCCACACTCTAGTGCCCAGGGGCTACTCTGTGTTTAATTCTCAGGGGTCACTCCAAGTATGCTGAAGGAACACATGCAGTCCTGGGGAATCAAACCTGGGCTTACTACATATAAAGAATGCCCTTCAGTACTTGGAGCTATCTTCCCTGACCCTGTCCATTGACTTTTAACTATACTCAATTATTTCCCTTTAGAACAACAGCAAAACAAAATCCCTCACTCAACCTACCTTCCACCTATTATAATCTCTCTCCTCCTCACACAGACATCATTCTCAAAGGAATTGTCCTTACTTCTGTCTTTACCCAGTCCCTCCCCTCCCCCCCACCCCTTTATTTACTTATTAACTCACTCTTAACACTCTCCATTTTCTGTATTCCGATTCTGCTACTCTCCCAAAATGACTCTCTCAAAAGTTACAAGTGACCTCCATATTACTTAACATAATGAGTATTTTCTGTCAGTCTCATCTTGTATTGCCTTACAACAGTAGATACTGATAAGCATTTCCCCATCTTCAAACATATGCTTGCCTTTTGTCTTGTGACTTTTGCCTGGTCTTCCTTCTACCTTTCTGCCTCCCTTTGCAGGTTTACACTCTTCTATGGGGGGGAGGGGGATCAGGTTTTCAAGACTCTCAGAGCTTTCTACTGGGCCCTATTACCTTTTCGTTCTGTACTTTTCCCCTCTTCACTGTTATCAGTATCAGGCTTCCACTATCATCTCAGTGAAAATGACTCAGAAATGTGTATCTCAAACTAGCTCTCTTCTTGTTATTTGCAAATAATACCTCAAAGTCAATTTTCAAATTGAAATCCATGATGTTCTTATCAATATCTAGTTCTCTGGCTCTTAATGAGGCATAATGCGTTCAGTTGCAGAATTACAAACAAAAACTTTAGCCATGACCCACTACCTCCCCTCCTTGGCCTAACAATCCCACGACTCTCAACTCCTTTCCTTTCTCTGTTACCACTAGCACACAGTTTGTTCTCCAATAAATCATCATCTTTCATCTACACTATTTCAAAAGCTTCCTAAGTGCTTTCTCCATACTGCTCCGGTCCCCTCCACTTTGTCTTCCACACTGTGGTCAAACTGTCTTTCAAACACTAATTCGATCATGACAAATATTCTATAAAACTTCCACTTGTTGTAAAGCTAATATCAAACCTTCCTAGTCCAATGACCTGACCCTCAAGGCAATCGTATGACATGTTCCTCCTCACTGCTTCAGTTCCAAACACCTCAGCCTGCCTTTCATCTCTCATTCGCATCAAGATCCTTCATGTCCTAAGTACTTATCCATGCTGTTCTTTCCGCTCTTTAAAAAATTTATGGTACACTGGTACACTTCTTTTTTTAGGGCAGGGAGAGGTGGGCATACAGCCAGTGGTGCACAGGACTTACTCCTGGCTCTGCACTCAGAAATTACTCTTGGCGGTGCTTGGAAGACTATATGGGGTGCTGGAGATGGGATGTGGGTCAGCGGCATGCAAGGCAAGTGTATTACCCACTGTACTATTGTGCCAGTGCACCCTGGTGTACTTCTACTCAGGCTTTAGACTTCATAGAAAATGCCAACAAAGCACTGAGACTCCCCATGAACTGAAGCCCCCATGTACTGCCTTTTCCCAAATTACTTGTCAAGAATACAATCAATTCTCTCACTATTTTAAGTTCTAGGAGAGCTTAGATACCTGATTTTAGCTACCATTGCATCTCCTACGTATAGCACAGTACCTACTCTCACAGGATCCTGGAATTAGAAACCCTACATATGGGTTTCAGCTGGAGTGATAGCACAGCGAGTAGGGCATTTGCCTTGTAAGCGGCCGACCCGGCCAACCCAAGTTCGATTCCTCCGCCCCTCTCGGAGAGCCCAGCAAGCTACCGAGAGTATGTCACCTACACAGCAAAGCCTGGCAAGCTACCTGTGATGTATTCAATATGCCAAACACAGTAACAACAAGTCTCACAATGGAGACGTTACTGGGCCCACTCGAGCAAATCGATGAACAATAGGAGGACAGTGCTACGGTGCTACAATGCTACATGCGGGTTCAGAGACTAGATTCTGCCATCAGATATCCTGGGTTCAATTCTTAACTCTGCCACTTGCTGACATAAAATCTTACAAATGATTCTTAATTTCTTTACACCTTGTTTTTGTCCTCTATCCAATGAGAATTGAAATACAGCTACTACTGTCTTCAAATGGTGATTATGAGAACCAAAGGAATCAATTGAACAAAGTGCTTAGAAGGGTCTCAGCTAGAAAGGAACTAATTTCAAATGAATGCTGTTAATTAAAATTATCATTACTTACTGAGCGAAGAAACAAACTCATTGGTGGTTGGTCTGCAAATTGAATGATTCTAAGTTTCTTTCCCACTCTTTATTTTTCCAGCCTAATATTTTGTTTTTAACTTATTTACAGGATGGTTGGGCTATACTACATGGTTCTCAGGGCTTACTCCTGGGGCTTCTCAGGGGACCAAATTGCTAGCAATCAAACCAGGGTGGACCGTGTGCAAGACAAACACCTTAATTCTTGTGGTATCTCTCTGGCTCATAGTCTAACATCTTAACATTGCTTTCTATTGGGGAAAACTTTCACAGACAACCTTGGGAAACTGAGCCAAGAAACATACAATACTATCTCATTAATTTGACAGTCATTCCTGTTCCTACAGCTGTATGAATCCAGAAGTATATTTTAATTCCACTTGTTACTCTAATATTTGAGTAGAATTAAAGAAGCCTCACGTTAGAACTGAAATTTTGAGGGCTATGAAAGTTCTTACATGAGTAATCCACAACTTCTTTTCAATGACTAAAAAGCTAAAAAATTTAAATGACATAAGAATGAGGAGCTAAAGTCCAACCCAGACCTACATGCCTAACTCGGGTCCATTTGCTCCACTATGCTGAGCTGAAACATTCAAGATGGCAGAATTATTTTCAGTAATACATAACTTCAAGATACAACAAATGATAGGTTGAATATACAATTTAACACAATTTGGTCAATAACTTAAAATTTTCCATTACTTTACCATTATAAAATATCAGATCTTAGGTCTTTAGAAAGAATTGCTATAAGTTTGAGAACTATGTAGAAAATACAGTACTATTTTCAAAACCAAAATTAGTAATAAACATGCAGATTCTCCACTTACTGCATCTTTTCCCAGAGCTGTTCTGATACTAAGTCTCACTTTAAAAGCATTTTCTGCATCTGTCAAAAAGAACAAGAGAGAAATCAATATTTGATGATAAAATCACAAACCAGCATAAGTACAATTAAACTTCTCCAAATACTCTTGAAAGTATAACTGAAAGCAACTCAGATGTTTTACATTTTTCCTTCAAACAACTCATAAATCAGTCACGGGATCAACTTTCGTGCCACAAAATGTCTACAGATTGAAGAAAATTAAGAGGTCTTTCAAAGATGTGTCAATTATTTAAAAACCGTTGATCTATTTTCTTAAACTTCAAGGCCACATACCTGGATAACAGAGTTGAGCATGAATATCAGTTACAAGTAAAAAGAGTAACCACAACATACTTTCAGAGTAGAATACAGAGGCAAATGGAGGGAAAAAAAAATCCACCCTCCACTTAAAGCCGCCTTAGCCATTCTGTGACCCGGATTAGAATATGAGAGAAAGAAGCTAGCCACCACCTAACAGGTTTAATGATTAACCCCCATCATTTCAGTTAATACTTTGATAGCACAGCCCACCTCCTGTCAGTTATTTACAAAACTCTGTTTGGAAAACAGGCTAGTTGTCCTTTCCAAACTCTACCTGCAAAGAATGTTTCCTCTGTTGACTCAAAATTGGAATCTTCCCCCACCCCTTCTGTGGTAGCCTGCTGAGCACTCCATCGAAAAAAACCAAAGAACAGATTCCCATCTGCAGGTTCGCCTTGTCGGGAACTTTCCGTCTTCTCAATACCAATATCCCCAGCTCCAAGAGAGGCTGTCTCAATTTGGGAGCTAATACTCACTATTTCTGTCTCTGGAAACAACACCCTTCCAAGAATGGCCTCACCTGACTCACATGTCACCAGGGCCAGGAGGCAAGCTTCCAACTCAAAGTGAGTGGTTTGGGGCAGGCCTGAGGCCTGACAGTTGTGGAAGATCCTAGTGAGTGACACAGAGGCATGGTGCAACCCAGTGGAATACTCAATGGGGATGGAAAAGTTCCTCCTCTGTGCTATCCAATATGGTAGGCCCCAGACACAGGTGGCTGTTGAGCCTGTGAAATGAGGTCTCACGAGCGAAAACAGTCCAATTATTGATTAACTCTGCTGGTTTAGGGGGGCACACTGGGTGGGGCTCAGGGGACTATGTGGTGCCAGAGATGGACACGCCTCCCGCGTGCAAAGTCAGCACTCCAGCTCTTTGTGTTATCTCCCAAGTCTGATAAATCACTGGGATAGAAACATATGGCTGGTGACTACATTGGTCAGAGCAGCTCAGAACAATCATTAAATGCGTGCTTGTCCTGAACTGGATTTGCTGTGTGCTTTCTCTAACCCTCACCTCACAGTTGCCGTTGCTAGAAACATCTTACCTAGGAGGAAACCAAAGATCTGCTGTTGAAGACTGTGGTGGCTAGGGGAGGAGCTACTGGAATGGGGATCACCCAACCAGCCTGGGAACTTAAACTGGAACCTGAGCTCCATCACACTGAACCCTGCTGTGTCTTGAGACATCATGGCTGAAAAGTGAAATAGCAACAAAAATCTCAGAGATGTTCTCAGAGTTTCAATTGAGAGTGGAAAAGACTCTTTCTCCTGGGGGCACTGGACAGAGGTCAGTAGAAGCCCTCATGTGAGTTTTGTCAGGGCCTTCCTCACATGCTGTCTCTTGAATTCAGTTCCCAAAACCCAACCATTGCTTGCAAACCAAGAAGGAAAAAGCAGATGGCACAACCCTGGCAATAAATAGGATTCTGGGATCTTTAACAACAAAATTGGTAAATGTGAATAATATTCAACAGCACTTTGAGTCATATCGTTATCAAAGACAATCCTTTTCTGTTCACTTAACTCTACCTTCGGCTTCTTTCTCTTTCTCCCTCATTTTGGATTCAGGGGTACCTGCACATCAGGAAAACTTTGACTGGAAGTAGAGGCCACCAAACTCTACCCAGTCATTCTAGCAGTTTTATTATTAGGGTTAAATGAATATTTCTTAGGAGGAAGAGCTCAGTAACTAAGCTCTGAAAACAAAGTCACACTAGATGAAGTTATCTTGGGAAATCTCGGGCTAGATAAAGTCAGCATGGGAAGGAAAAGCCAGTGGACAGAGATGGTAACAAGGCTATTTGCATCAAGGACCAAAACCATGCTTGAGACAAAAATCTGGTCCAGCTTATAACTTTGTAAAAGTATCAAATTTCTCTTCTGTTTTTACTTCTTCACTTATGTGATCAGGAATGAAAACAGTAAAATGTTGACTTATAGTCAAAGGAGAACATTCTTTGGAGAAAAGAACACCTTTGAATTATTTCCCTGTGATGGTAAAACACACACATATTTTTTAATATGATAGAAACAAAGCACTAGCAGTTAGGTATATAAAATACAGAGAAGCTAAAAGAGGAAAAATTAGAAATATCTTTATTACCACCAACACAGATGACCTGTGTTAATATATTTTAATAGTTGAGTCGTAGCCTCCTCAGTCAGATCTTCTCGGGGATTCTGGTATGTTACTGCTTGGTCTACCTGTAGAGACACTCTCAAAACTGAGTGATCGGTATCAGGCTAGAGATGACATGGACCCTTGACTTCTTCACTCTAATTTTTTCTTTTGTGACTATACCCGGAAATGCTCAGGAGTTACTCCTGGCTCTGCACTCAGGAATTACTCTTGGTGGTACTCAATGGACCATGTGGGGTGCTGAGGATTGAACCCAAGTCAGCTGTATGCAAGGCAAATGCTCTACCCACTCTACTATCTCTCTGGCCTAACTTCTTCACTCTAATAGAAGTGCTGCTCCTCCACCACATCTGGTGAGTCACTTCAAATTTAATATGATTTGATATAAAAAGTACCCTTTCATTTATTATTTACTAAAACTCTCCTTATCAGTAACTGATGTTGATTTTTATTAACTGGCTTTTCACCTACTAATATGATTTCAGAGTTTTTACCACTTGGCACATTAATATCAATATATTAATAAAATCTTTAGAACGCTCAGTTGATTTTTAACATGCTTATTGAACTTAACTGTTGTCTTGCCCCCTTGGGTTTTAAACCTATTTTCATAGAAGAAATATAATTGCGGGTTCCTTTTTAAAGTGTTGATTATTTAATTTTATTTGTCTCTTGCCCTTGTATTATCATTTTGAAAATAGCACAAAGTATTTATAACACATTTGGTAGCAGTGGCTAGCAGTAGCAGTAGTAGTAGTAGTAGTAGCAGCGTACTGAGGCCTTACCACTGCTTGTCTCAGCAATGTAGGTTTGATAAGGTTGGTGCTTGGGAACAAGAGTTGAACTTAGAGTACACACTAGCATGTGCTCTCTACCACTTAAGCTATCCACCCTGGCCCATTATCTATAGTTTAAGTTTTAGAGACACTTAAAGTGAATAACAAATTAATAATTTAGAGATTACAAATGTGGACCATATATATTTGAGAATAGTTCTTTCAAAACTTCATTTTCACATTAGCAATATTTCAGGTTTTCTAAGTCTTTCTGAGCCCACTTGGCTTGAAATTTCAAGAAAATCACTAATTTAAGATGTCTATGATTCTCACGGATTTCATGCATTTCCTATAAAATATATCTATAATTATATTACATTTATATTCTCTGGAGCATATATAAATTTTTACTTATTTTCCATTATACTTGCCAAATGTTTGTGTTCTTTTATTGAAGAACAAAATCTTGGATTTAATTTTCAATTCTTTTGTTTCCTATTTTGTCAATTTCGCTTACTCTTATTACGTCCTTCTTTGATTGCCATTATATTTGTTTTCTTATCCTTTTTAGAACTCTTGAGTTCTTTTTCAGGCTTATGTATTATCAATCTTTCTCAGCTAATTATAAAAATAATGAAAATCTCTGGCTCTAAAATTTCCTCAAAATACTTTCTGGCTGCCTGACATTAGAAATAAATGTGTAGAGAGATCTAATTCTTTTTTTCTAAGCAGTCTATAATTGGCTTATTTTTTTCTATACTCAGGTATTTTCTTAGAAAAGAGTTTGACAATAGCTAAACAAATAGCAGGTCAAAATTAAAAGATTGAGAACATTAAGTCTTGGAGCTAAGGAGAGCTCATGGGGCTCCAAGCACCACAGAGTCCTCCTGCATGCTTCTGGGTGTACCCCTATACAATAATAGAAATAAAAACACTGACTCTGAGAGGTCTTACTTTACTTCCTAAAACAGGAAGATTATTCAGAGATATGCATCACCTAGAACTAGGTAAAAATCATTTAATGAAAAGAGTCAACGGTTTAATTAATTATGTAGCACAACAGTAGGTATAATTGTTCTTGCTTTTGAACATAGAGTCTATTTTTCTTCCACTTTTCAAAATCTTGCACAAGCTTGGTATACCTTTCTATGCATAAAGTATAAAGCCTCCAGATAATCTACTCAAACTTGCTTCCTCCTGTGATCATTTCAGCAATTTCACATATAGGAACTAACTACTTCATTAGTAAGGGTAGTGATGATGATGAACCAGTTCCCATCATCCTGTGTATGTTACTACTTACTTCCACTGTTTAGAGAATTTGGAGAAAAGTTGAGATTACTGTTGCCATGAGAAATACAGAAAGGCATGGAGACAGAAAAAAGAAATTGATTTCTCCATGTTTTTTCATACTCCACACACTACTGAAAAGCAGTTTCTCGGCACATAAATATTGATCTGCTGCTCTGGAGGGTAAATTAAATATGAGATCACGTGAAAAGAAAACATACGAGTTGTTCTTTCAATTCATCTACGATGCCTTTTAAAGCTCATCAGAGTTGTAAAAGCACGTGGGAATATAAATCTGCCATTTACCTATAATAAAACAAGAGGGAGAGAGGATCAATATCACTCTTCAGTTTTGATCCTGATAACAGCGTCATTGTCACAATGAGCATTTTGTAAACTTGCAATATGAACAACTAGTATAGTATAATGGTTGAGCACGGAAGTTTTAAAAATAAAATCTTACATTTTTAAAGCTAAACATTTCAGTTAAATGACTCCACTTGATTTTTTAGAAGTTGTAAAATTTTGAATTAATGTAAAGGTAATTTAAATTGGAATGAAACTTATCTACTACATAATAATATTAAGATGTAGTAATTAGCATCTTAATATAATTAGGAAGAAAATATGCCCTTTAAACACTTCATATACATAAGGAGATCACATCAGGTGGGACTCAGGGAACATACATGGTGAGTGCCAGGAATGAAACTGGGTTCAGTCACAAGTAAGCCAAATGCCCTGCTGCTATACTATCTCTCTGCACCCTCCCTCACCAAATAAAAATTATTAAGTTAGTAGTTCTCCATTATCTAATAGCACAGCGGGTAGGGCGTTCGCCTTACAAGCGGCCAACATGGCCGACCCGAGTTCGATTCCTCCGCCCCTCTCGGAG